TTCTTAAGGGTTAACTCTGCTATCCCCATCCATCAGGCAGCCAGCGAGGCATCAGGAACGAATGATGGATGTAAAATTATTACAGGGCTGCCACCCGATACACTTACTGCCATTTGTAACTAACGCTGGAACTGACACACTTTTTTCATTATTAAACATTCACATTAAGTCAACATTGGTCACTGTCATTTCATGTTTGGCACTCTCTTAAGGGGAAGAGGGGGAGGTGGGAGGATGCTGGGAGGAGGGGTGGGTGGGAATGGGAGGAAAGACATCCTGAACCCAGTGTTCCATGAGCATGAGTAATAAATAGGCTCCTGCTTACAATGCTGGAATAAATATTGTTACAAATAGCTCTTTAGTTACAGCCCAGCAGACAAGTACATGTCAGGGTCTTTTAAAAGGACGCACTCCAAGCAATAACAGGGAGAACTTGCATCACAGGTTAAGAAACACTCAGCACAGGAGGTACACGTATTCGGATACGCTCATCTCAAGTGTGCTATGAGGAAGACTGTGTCTGTACTCATCTGAAATGCTTGTGTGGCTATGTATACTTACACAAGTGTCCCAGCCACCAGCATCTTCAGCAGGTGCCAGCATCTGGAAACCAGTATTTGTGATTGCACCAGCGTGCGCAGACACATGATCAAATACCTGCTTGTATTCCTCCTTTTTTACAGCCACCAGGGTACATGCAGGAATGCTTGAGAGTCTGCCTATAGTCAGAAAATTACTGGCTAGCTCAGTTCGTGTTTGTGCTGTGCATCTCTGAAAGAGTGCTCTGTAGGCTCGTATGCATGCACACACATGCTGGCTCTTTGTGTTTGTGTACATCTCCTTTGCAGAGGAACAGGCAGTTTTGGGGCAGAACCACCAAAGCAGAGTCCACTTGCTGATGTTGCCCACTTGTTGCATTTGCACTAGGTGACAATCTGCGCTCTAAACTACATGTCTAAAAGGGAACATTGTTTATGCATAGTACCTATCAAGCTATAATTAACTGTAGATGACAATTACAAATAAAACTATGCTCCCGGGTTTCCAAGAAACCAGAAAAACATACACACACTTTTCATTTATACACGGAAATGTTTCCAAGAAAAGTAATGTAAAAATATGTTTTATTGCATTTGCAATTAAAATAGGTTTTAGTAAAATCCATGGTCATCATGATGCTCACAGTTTTTACTGCAATCCTCTGAAAATCAAATCAGTCAAGATAGTCCAAGTTGGATGCCCATAAAGTGACTCACACAAATCATCCTAGCCATTTTCTAAAAAGCTCTTAGCTCTTTTCATTTATGACTCGCTTTATACAGTTTCTCTAAAATACCACAAAATTCCTGTCTGACTACTGCCTTACAGCTGGCAGGTCTGGCTGTCCTCAGGGATCAACCCATCTGGGAACACAAGCCAGATAACAGGTCACGCACATGCATGGAGGAAAGCCCCAAGAGCTTTAATAGAGACTCACAAAGATGATTTCCAGCCTTGAGCCTGCCCAGCTACTTCAGGCAGATGAATCCCTATCAGGGGTCTAACACATGTGTTCAGAACTGCACAGACACTACCTTTACTGGTAGGCTGCAGCAGAAATTAATGAAGAAAAAAACTCAGCATGTCTCAGAGAGTTGTAGGTCTCCATAACTATGCTAGCCACTGCAGGAAAGAGAGGAAAATTTGGGATAGCTCCAGTCGAGTGTCTGTTGCCCATACAGACTGAGATCACTCTACAGGAAGGAGAGCATTTCTTCTGTACATAATTATGGTCAAAATGTGCATTTCTAAGCATGGATATGCCCATGGACACATAGCTACATTAGGCTAACCCTCTTTTAATTCCTTCCTCTGCCTCAAAATCTCCCTATCAGGAAGCAACCAGGGAGCAAAGGAAATATCCCAAATATCAGGGAGCTGCCTCTAAGTCCCCTGATAGGACCCTGAGCTTCTGCAAAGAAACCCTCAGTGGTAACACTGCAGCAGTCTGTTCCACAAAACCCGCCTTCCCAACTATCTCTTTTTCTTTCCACTGAAAATAGGGAAAAACAGAATAAAATTTAACTCAAAAAGGCAACATTTGTCTTCCTATCAAACCTTGCTCTTAATACAAGAGAAAACTTTAAAGTCCTAGATCGAATGGACCCAAGCTTCACAGCTGCATAGTTGGTGGATGGCCTAGAGCACATATGGGGAAGGAGAACAAGTATCTGAACTTTACAGCCTATGCCTTGTCCTCTGTTGGGTCAAAGGCAAGAGACAGCTCAAGAGACCCTACAAGTTAAAATGTGTAAGCTCTTAACTAGTGCTTAGTGGCTTAACTGGTCACCCTAGCAACCCAAATGCTATTATAGTCTAGAGAGCTCAGATTCGGTTCTGTCCTTTCCTGTCTCCCATTTAAAAAGAAAATAAAATAATGGATAAATAAATGAAAATTGATGTGCCCTGATAAAGTTTTGGCATTTATTGTATCAAAAGCCCCAAACCCTACAACTGCTTAAGAAAAATTTCCCATTGATTTTTTTCTTCCTGCTACCTTGTAAAAGAACTTCTCACTGCCCTCCATGAGCCTACCAGGCGGCATGAATTAGAGAGGAAAATAAACTTCAACTAGGGTTGAGGGTGAGAAGTGAAAACAGAAGGGGTAAGGAGAATCCCAACAATAGGAAAGTAATAGAATAAAGTGAATACAGATGGCTCCACTCCTGTTGCTTAATCAAAAGGCTGTGCAGAGTCACTAGAGCCAGCATAAAGTCATGTGTTAGAACAACAGCTGATCTGTATTAAAGAAGATTAACTCGCAATGCCATGGTGGAGGGCCTGGGATTATTTTATGTGCTTCCATTGCTGAACAAGCCGTCAGCACAATTACTGCCCTCCGATGTGAATGACTGATCTGTAACCACAGCTAAACAGCATGCTGCTTAGGGGCCTGGGTGCTTCATGAAGATGAATTTCCATACCATCAAAGTGCTTTTAACGGGCTTCCTGATCCAACCACAAGGCCTGCTTTGCAAGTATATAGAACTCAGGATGAAGGCTTCCTGTCCAAAAGGATTTGGCCGGTTGTCACTTGACAATTCCCAGCCAGCACAAGGGAGGAGAGGGGGGAGATAGGTAGAGTTGTCTCTGCTTTGGAGGATTAAAAAAAAAAAAAAAAAAGGAAAAAAAGAAGAAAAAGAAAAGGGTACAGATGCTTTCTGAATGCAACCAACTGCTGTATCCACAGCTGAATTCAATGCGCTTAACAAATAACGGCAATTTAGCTATGCTTGCGAGGAATAGCTTGAGTCACTTTGCATTAGCATCTGGCTGAGTGTTAAAGTCATTTCTACATGGGGAGCAGAGAAAAGAAATTTCTGCTCCGAGCATCCTTTCAAGAATGCTTAAATATTTGAATATAAATTCCTTTGTGCTTGTGATCACTTCTTCTTATATCTGACACTCTGCTCTTCCCTTTTCCCTTCTGGTACTCTTCTATGTGAAATGCCATAAACATGCTTCATCCCTCTCTTTCTCTCTCCCCATACCAGCGCTCTTACTCTTCTTAGAGAGGTTGTATGTACTGCCAGATACCTATTACACTGACCTCTTTTTCCTTCCCCTTCCTCTTAAGAAAGTGCATGAAATTGGAGTAATTTCTACATCACTTACACCCAGGATAGCCTGATGAAAAAAAGTACAGTAGTGAGAGACTCACACGTACATTTAACATTCATTACCCAGACTGCTGGCTTCTCACAGCTTATTGATCAAACTCCATCTAAAAATGGGGAAAATGGAAAGCTATCCAAATTAGCAATCTGCTCATTCTGGACAATATTGTTTGACTCACAAGCTTCCTAGGATGACTGACTTTCAAGTTTCTGCTAAATAGCTGATCATTTTTATTCATCTTATTTATCTACCTCTTTCAGTGATTCACACAAGGCCTTACAGTGAAAAGCCACTAGAAGCGGTTTCAATAAAATTCAGTTTATACCAAATGCAACTATGATCACCTTTGTTGTACTACATGACGAAGGCTGTCTCACCTCAGAAAATATTGCAGGGGAAGAGAAGAATGAGGAAAAAGTCTTGCTAAGCATATGATGTCGAGACGCACACAAGAGTTTGGATGTACATCTTAGGTGGCAGTATTATAAGAACAGCTCACTATAAATGTGTCAGCAAGGACTGGCAGGTCTATTTATCCTCCGTAAGCCAGGGCAGTGCATGGAAAGAGATCACATATTTCCAGAGAAAAGCAGCAAATCTCAACCTCTTTGACATACATGACTGTTAACAGTACATACCAATTTTACTAGAGAATATTCACTTTGTCAATATTTTGTTATAACAGAGCTTCATAGGCCAGTTCAAAAGTAGAATGTGGTAAGGCACATACGTTCCCGCTGCCTTGAAGTTCCACTCCAAATATTTGGTGCAGTTTGTGTTGTCAATTCTCCATATCTTCAATTTTGTTAAGTCATCTAATGTGACATGGCAGTGCTACATTGCAATGGTCACAAAATATCACATATGACAACCTCACAAGGCTAAATACCCAGAAGCTGAGCCTGAGTATCAGCAAAGCTTATGTTCCTAAAGAAGCTTGATTATTTTCAAATCCAGCTCATCTCGCAAACACATGTAAGCATTTCCATAAAGCAAGATTTCCACTTAGACCCACAGATTTCCAAGATCACCTTCTCGTAATACACACTGACAGGCTGGAACAGAGAATTAGCGGCCTCCAAAGTTCTCATAAGGGCTTTAACTATCTCTGCCTCCATCCCACTCTCCCCCCAAGGGTCTCCGGATCTCTGTCTCGTGTCATCTTTTGGTTGTGCTTTTCATTTTATCTTTCCCCTTTTTAGAAAAACCTCTTCTGTTTAAAAATGTGGAAGAAGAAAACAAAGCAAGAAAAAGGAGGAAAAAAAGGAGGAAGGACCTATGTATCTGTAGGAAGAGCCTAATGCAACCTCAGAACCTTCGCAAAGGAAGTCTCAGAAACTCACCTTTTCTGTCCTGCAGTTATTGAGACCCAGGCTATTTACAACAGCCACCTTCCCGTCCAGCACCTGTTGTTCCCTCCGAAGTTGCTCCTTCATCTGTCGGGCCTCCTGGATTGCCTTCGTAACAGCATCATGGTCATTTAAATAACCTGACGACGTGATAGAAGAAAGGATATCTTAAAAAAAGAAAGTTACAAGAAAACACTTTAGCTTTCATTGATTAAATGGACCAATAGTTCATCATTATTAACGAGAAAGAGCTAGAAGATAATGCCCATAAACCCATCCGTGCTTTGGAATTCTGTTACTGTTATGATAGAGCCACCTGGACAGAAAACATGAAAAACCTCAGTGCCAAAATCCTTGTCCTGATATGTGATCCCATTAGTTTCCATATTTCCCTGACTCGGCAGAGGTTAGCCCTGTGGTTTGTAGGGGCAGCAGGATGTAACCGGATATGAGTTAGGGGAAGCTTTGATCATACCAGAAATCCCAAACTCTTAAAAATAGACCACTTCATTCTTCCTCTTCTTAAAACTTGTGAATATATTAAAATAAACCACAGGTGGCGGTGGTTTGCTATAGATATGAAATGCATAATGGCTGGGAAGAGAAACCTCATCCACTGAATGCTCCCCACCACCACCTGTCATTCAGAAATGTATAAGAAACCACAGCTACATGGACCTACATTCCCACTCCTATTCATGCTGCTAATAGTAGGTCAAATGTCCACTGTTTTGCTGCAAATTCACAGCCTAGGGCTTAGCCTTAGTAGTCACTGAATTATTTCCTTTTAAAATGTTACAAGCATCACCCGCACAGCTAATACTATTTAATTTTGAATGTGACACTTTGTCATTTTTTTCCTTTAGCGTACTGTAGATTATACTTATTATGATCTGCATGTGATTTGCAGGATAGAATACTGATGGGAGACTCCAAGCCCCAGTCTATTTTTCAAACATTAAAGGAGAGGCTAATATCTATCAATCTCCCTCCCCCTCTCCTCATCCCCACACGCGTGCGCACACACACACACTCCTTTCTGTCTTTTAACTAGGGCATAAAAATGGCATAAAATGAATCTGTAATATGAAATTGCCCAGAAAAGGGACTTCTGTTTGTGACATGAGGCTAAATCTAACCAGATCCATTGGTGAATTGTGACAGATGGAGGGACTGTGAGACAGAAGGCAAGCACTAATCACACACAAAATGACCGGCTTGCCTCAACATGTTCCATGGATTCCAGCAAACTTTACACCCTAATCCATTTTTAGAACAAAAAACATCTGGGCCATAAATCCTCTAATCTGCCAAAACACGCTATTAAATCCCATGATTTGTTGAAAAACACTAAGATTAAAGAAAGGAAATATAAAATGGCTAACTGCCGTGTTAGGAAAGTGTTATTAATACTCTTTCTTTGTCTCAATTATGAATGTTCTGTTCCTAAAGAGCCTTGTCTAATCATGTCAGATTACACATCCTTGTTGTATTGCTAGACTCTTCTATCTGATCTGCTGATTGCCAAAAAACGTAGGATATTGTCTTGCTGCTTAAAACATTTCAGGGGAAGAAGCTGATGTCAGATTAGTTCAGTGCTGTGCTGCTGTCAGGATTTTAGTTTGGTTTGGGTTTTTATTGTTGTTTTTTTTAGACTGCAGGCAGAATAGGACTGGTGTTCTCATCTTCCTCACTGCACAAAAACTAGAAAGAAAAGTTCTGTGTGGTTTGACTGCTGTTAATTGTACTAACAGTTAGCTTTTGGCTACATACCCAGAAACCCTGAGATTTTTGTATGAAATAACTTGATCCACATTGCTTTTATCAAATGACCCAGTTCAGTAATTCCCAGCCAATGGAATTCCAGCAATTCCAGCCTTCCCAGCATAAGGAAGGATATATTCTGCACCAGCACAGTGCTACCAGCTGATTATTTTAATTTTTTTACCTCCATTTTATCAACTTGCTTGGTTTCTTCTCCACTTTGCATCTGTTACTGATCAAGCTTGCATGTAGTCAGAATAAATTAAAAAGGAAGCAAATAAACAAACAGTAGTATTACTGCTGGTTCTGCTCTTGATTAGGCTAGGTACAGTACTTTCAACTGTAATACAGACAAATTTGCCTAGGAACTGGAATTCATGCCCTTCTCCAGACTATTTGGCTTTTCCTGAATACTGCTATCTTTGAGACAGTTTGGCACATGACAGTGAATAAAAGCAAGCACTCCTTATGTTTTTCAGTAGCTGCCAAGATGCTGGTGTGCAGGGAAATGATTAATATAGAAGCGAGTTGAATGTAAATTATTGTTGTTTAGGGTAGGTGGTGAATTATTGACAGAGAGGGGAACTGCATTACATAAAATGCACTTAGTTAAAAGGATTGCCAAACTAGCATAGAGATGTTGCAGATAATGGCAAAGGGCAGAGAGAAGTTGTTTCTGTTTTTAGTTCACGGACATATGCCTGTTCCCAAAAAGAAATGCTTGGATTTAAAGTCATGCATGAAGCCACGACATTTGTGACTGCTCAGTCTGTAGCATAATTTATACACTATAAGGATAGCTCTAAAAAAGCACTGATCTGTATGCCCGAATGCTGCTTTACTGTTAATCACAGGAGGCTGTAAGTTTGCATCCTCCAAAAATAACTGAACAATACATGAGCATTTCTCATGCCATGGGATCCAAGAAGCCTGAAGAACTGCTTTCAGAGAACAGTTTTAATTTGAAGCTAGAGGTGGTGCAAAGTGACAGCTCAACTGCACCCCAGCAAGATGGGCTGCGCACACCTACCACAGACAACCTGTGCCTTGCACTGACAGCTCCAATCATTCCAATGGTCAAAGCAACTGTATGGCAAATTACTGCATGTTTCCCAGTGACTTTTTGTAGAGGGATTAATCTCTCGAGATAAAGAAGCGATACAGTTTCTCTATCATTTTTAGGGCCTTAGTACCTTTGATAAAATGCTATCCTTTTTTATTTATTTATTTTTTTTTTGTCATAGCTCCTACTAGAGGGTGACTTGAAACTTCATGCTCACTTTCTTAAGACCACCAAATGGTTTCAACATGGTAATGAGTTTCACTTGCTGTAACTTTGGTTGGATCTGACCTAGCAGTTAGCAGAAAATACTCCATAGAGCGTTCACCAGTCTTTCATTCTTCTAGAACTCTACTAAAGAATAAACCTTTGTTAGAAGTAGGCTATGTCTGCCCAGCCCTTGCACCAGTTAAAGACTGCTTATCTTATATATACAGTATGCACCATGGTATTGCTCAGCAACCTCAAAAAGTCACTTTCTATATTTGTAGCTAAGAGATATGCAGCAGAGAAGTCTGTGTCATTAACAATAACTTAAGTATGTTATCTTTTGCTCCACAGTTTTCCATGGTTTATTAATGGTATAACACATTAATTCTTCTTATAAGAGTGACCTTTAAAGCTCCATTCATCCTCACAGCTTTTATCCAATTACATTATCACTCATTACAGGTACAGCATTTCAAAATCTGCATCTTGTTAAAAGAAGTAAATTGCAGGGGTCTCAAACCTACGAAAAATATCAGGTGTGTAAGGAAAGAAAATTGGACAGGAGAGAATAAGAGATGTCCTGACACCGAGATGCAGGGCAGATGTTTAACTCCACATCTAAATGTGATGCTCACTCTATCAAGGATAAAAAATTTAATATGAAAAAAATTGAAACTCGATGCATTGTACATGGAGAGCAGTAGGGCCAAGCAGATTAAAGATAAGAGTGTAGGGTTAATAATAATACATGTATTAACAATTAACAATGTGATATTTACAAAATATTTATATAATTGTGACATACCATACCAAATAAAGTTATTTTCTTTTCTAATAGTCATAGAAGCATATTCTCTGACTGATACACATAACTCTCATCAACATTAACAATAATCATGTATGCAGAGTGAGATGGTAATTTGGTGGGAGCCAGACCTGTTCCAATCTTTGGACATAACTATGGTTCTTCCTGGTGTCTATGTAGGTAGAATATGGACTACAATGAGCTTGGGAGAAACCCATGAAGACACAAAAAGATTTTACGATGTAGCTACGATGTAGCACTGAGATTTCACAGAAAAGGCTTCTGACAGGTTTGACATATGGCTTTTTTTGGCTTTTGGGTCATCCCTGAAGGTGGCCAGCAGGAGATGCTTTAGGAGCAGTAAGACAGAGTAGCAGAGTAGGTGCAACTACCTGCCTCACTTAATTCCTTAAACAAAGCTTGATTTGCATGCTGAAATCTTAATTCAGGTTATATTCAATCGCACTTCATGGTATAAAATTTTTCTGTTACAAGGATGATGAATGAGGTGTGCATACATTTTACTTATACACACAAAGAGCAGTCCCTTTAACACATCAGACTTGCAAAATCACTTAGACCGTTATTATTTAGATGATCTTTAGGCAAAGGGGTGATTTTGCCAGGAGGAAGAATTAACACTATTTTCTGACAATGTTAAAAGCAGACCATCAAGAGTTTTTGCAAGATACATCAAATCTGGTGATTGATTTATTTATTAAAGAGAAATAATGCTCCATGCAGCTTTTCAGCAGACTCAGGATTAAACCTGTAATCTTGCAAAAATGCATTTGCATATGTAGACTTTTAACTTAAACGGATTTTTATTTTAATTTATCCATCACTTTTAGATAGCATAGTACAACATCACAGGTCTTTAATGCCCGCCATTAGATAGGTCACTGTCTTTAATGTATGCCATGAAACAAACAGAATTTATTCACTTTTATTGATAAAGCAGTATCTGAACTAGAACAGGTCTTTGTTTTCTGAGTCTGTAAAAGTTAAGATACTCCTGAAATGGTAAATCTGTGGGAGTTTCTCTACTGACATCAACAAATGTAGTATTATGGTCAACCCGTGACAGCTCATAGACCAGTGTCAGCCACTGGCTGATAAATGCCTACTTTCCATTAACATCTATTAATTGTTATAAAGAGGGACAGGTAAAACTGAGCTTACCTATTGTGTTAGCTCTGGCTGAAGGACTAGCTAATGTTGCTGGCACGGAGGACTTTAGTGAACTGGCCCCACTATTTATTCTCAGAGTTGGCATATGAGGAGAGGTGGGTGATGTGGGAGACTTGCCATCAGATGTCTTGGGTTTGGCTGAAAGGTTCAGAGGCTGGGCCACTTCATCCTACAATGAGCAAAAGAGAAAAAAATGTTATGAAAAAACTGCTGTTGGCACAACACCATCCAAGCAAAGACAGTTGTTTTCAGCTCATGTGAACTTCTAAACCTGAAAGGTTGTGTGATATATATTAAGATCAAATGTGATATCATCTTGTCATTCCAGTCTGGAACTGAAGTGACTGATAAACTGGGAAGTTAGCATGACATGATCAGAGAACATCCTCCATTTGCAGTTCATGTGTAAGAATTGTCTCTGCAGAAATTATTCACATCAACAAGATATATGCTTCTATGATGAAAATAAAGAGCAATTGTAAGGTTGTATTTTTGTTATTTTAAACTTGGTATGGATAAATTAAATAAGACCTGAAAAGCATTTTCACTTAAAATTCAACCACCACCAATCAAACTGGGCAAATGTGTTTGAGTGAATGGGTGCTTTCCTCTGAACTTCCCAGGCTTAGAATTCCAAGCACAAAAAATATCACAGGAAATAAATGCTTCTCTTCCACTACCACAAGAAAGCAGGGAGAACCTGCCTTTTCATTCCACAAAATTTGAAACATCTGGATGATTGTGCGTAAGGCCCTAGATTTCTTCATATTCTGTGGAGCTGGACTTCCATATTTAGGTAATTATTATTATGCAAAAATAGAAAAATGTGTGACATTTTTTTCAGGGTAACTGGAGTTATTTCTAAGCCTGGCTTGATTACACACAGTAACAGACAGGGCTATAAAGGACATAAAATTCTAACTGAAGTATTTTAGTTTGAACAAAATAAAAAAGAGAAAAAAAATCAAACCAAAACAAAAAAACAGGGAAAGGAAAAAAAAGCTTTTCAACAAGCAGCATATTTTAGAAGTGATCTTAACTGACTTTTAAGGGGATATGGCATTAGATCCAACCATCGCACATTAGCTTAGCTCTGCTCTGACACTGTGACTTAGGAAAGCCGTCCTTTAGCTACAGGAAGTGTTGTATCACGCAACCGGGTTTCAGCTCTAGGCACCAAAGAAGCTGATTCTGATCTCCCTGAGTTGTAAGTACATTCAGTTTTATAGAATTATTCTTGACTTACAGCAATGCAAAGCTACTGGAATTAGACTCATAATGTTTGAGTGTTTTACTGTTACCACTAAGGTATCTGTAACTACTATCATATAATACTGATTCTTTTCCACAGAGGATGGTGTGCTGCAGTAAAGAAGGAATTTTATAGTTGCCCGTCACTTGTGGAAGTATGATGTAGATGTATGTCTCCAAACACAGGACAATTCTGCAAAGCACTGTCATATAACTTTTCCATTACCTGGAAGAAGCAACCTCTGAGCAAAGCACTTTTGTTATAATTGATTATTTCTACATTTTTGTACTAGTCACAGTTAAAAATAAAATAAAGCTTAGCAGACAAATACAACAGAGACACCACAGACAAAGCTGTCATCCTTAAAGAGTTATTTAAACTGTCCTAGATGTAACTTGTGTATAAAATAACAGGGCAAAAAAATCGATGCTTAAAATTGTCTTAGGAGCCTAAATTCTGTATTCTCAGAAGCAACTTAGGCACCTAGAAGGCAGTTCTGTTATCTTCTAGGAAATTTAGGACTCAGGGTTTAAAATGCCATGCAGTTCAACCAGCATTTGACATTTTATGAAGGTATTTGTTACTTTATACAAATCATTTATAAATCCATTTGTATTAGAACAAAATAAATTAACCTACTATGGAAAAGGAATTGCTCTGTTGTTCTACCAATTTAAATTAAAAAAAAAAAATAAAATCCCACAACAGTGCAATGATAGTATTGTAAAATCAATACTGAGTTAGTGGCATAAAAATGTAAGTACAAACTAGCCAACCAACCAACCACAGGGACCCTGTGCCAGACAAGGATCCCTGAAGAGCAAAGTCATCTGTTTGGAAGACAGCATCAGAAGCAAAGCAAACCTGCCCACAGACTTGTTTTGGCTCAATACAAGAGGGGTTGGCTTCCATGTATATTCAATACTTGACCTCTGCTGTAAGTCTCAACAAAAGGGAATGATTAGTTTCAGGTATGGTACTAAAAGCTGCAGTGTGCTATCTGGCCACTGGAAACTGACCAAGAGCAGCACTTCAGCGCATACAGAGCAGCAACCAGCCCCTGATGGTAATGGCTCTCACTCCTTGCAAAATCAGCCTTGATGACAACCTGCATCCTTGTGCTGAAAGGGTTTTTTCATTCTTGTCCTCTTGACTCAATCCTTTGGCTATCCTGCCCCTATAAAGTTTATTTCCTTCCCTTCTCTTGCTCATTCTCCCTTTTCTCAGTTCTTCAGTTCCCTTTTTTTTTAAGTCTGGTGTAAGCAAGGCCATGTGCAAGTCCACTAGAGAACAGTGGTTTTGGTCTCATTTAATGCAAGTTAAAAATGAGGGAGGTGATTTTTTCCCATCGCAGGCATCCAGCAATGGAGCTGTCTGTGCTGTAACTATTCTTGATAGTAAGAATGCTCTTCTTCATTCAAGTCAGCACAGCCTCCTCTGGAGCCAAGGAGTATAAGGCCTTGTGGAAATAATAGAAGTCGACAGTTCCAGAGCTGATAAATGTCATTCCAAATTGCCCCTTTACTCACTTTCATTGTGTGTTCAGGCTAATGGTAAATTAATCTGAGGTCACAGAAGCTTGTTTCTCATAAAGGAGGATAAGTAAACAATTTTCAGCTATTATATGTATTTACAAAATTACTTCACTGTTTGGTCTTTGCAACATTTTTACTTATGGTATTTCAAAGAGCATTCTCAAATCCTTGCTGGAAGTGAAATATATTAAAAATGCAGTCAGAGAGTTTAGAAATCCTACATTGCATCATGAGTTAATAATAATTTAAGTAATTTCCTTTACCACAGTGGAACTACACTGATTTATTCCATGGGAGTCTAAAAAATATCTGGGAGACAGGTAATAATATACAATTGTGTTAAGTGTGAAGATGACTGTTAGGATCTCCACTCCTATAGTCACTGAGCCATTTTACTCTTTTTTCCTATCTGCAGACATAAATTCAAAATTCTCTGATCTTCCAGTTTAAATTAAGAGCTGTACTGTCTTCATTATTGATTTGTGGCTGCATAACCATGAGAAGAGTTAAATGTGGCCCTTACTTTATTTTTTAACTATACAATCTCCCAGCTGACATTCTGACACATTATAGATTAGGAGGCTTCACTCTCAATCATATCAAGGCTGTGTATAAGTGCAGCGTGACACCCAGTGAAAATAAAAGTAATAAAAAAAAAAAAATAGATGTAGCATGTTCACTCCAGGTAGATGGTTGTCTTTCAACAGCCAGGAGATTCGATTTTATACAATGGCATCACAGAATTTAGAACTGCTCCCTGCATTTAGTTTTTATTAGAGAGAGGTCAGTATTGATTGGTCTCTGTCTTTTTTTCTGACATGCAGTTATTCTAAGCCATTGATAAGGGTGATTTTTTTCAAGTCAGTATTTTTCAAAGAGTTAAACAAAGTCAAACATTTATTTATATATCAGCCAAAACGATTAATGCTTGGACCAGAGGATGTAAAGACCCAAAAGGCTTGTAATAACATAAACACAGATGTGATGAAAGTAAAATATGATCTTGAGTAAAGGTTATGAAATGTTTCCTTTAAAGTAGCACATTTGTCTAGCAAAACGAAATACACACACACACAAAAAAAATAAATGTAGAGAATAAAGCATAAGCGAAAACACATGACAAAGGGCTAATAAAATGAAGCACCCACTGCAAGAGCAAGGCATTGTAAAGAGTTTCCCCATCACCTGTATCAGAGTACTGTCAGAATAGACACTATTTTAGGGAGAGCTGGTGGTCTGCTTCCCAGCATTGGAAGACTGCCACTAACCAAAACTTTGGAGCTCGAGGAACCTGAAATCCCTGAATTGCTCTATTTTATTTATTTTTTTTTTCCAGATGATCTTTAGACATACAAGGGAAGAAAGAAGAACGCTTCATCTACACTAGAATCTGGGGAGTAAACAAAATCCTCATGAGCTGCATTTTGTAGCTTCACTTAATCTGGATTTGTGTAACTTTGAGCTTTTATATTTAGGCATCAGACATTGTAAATCTCCAAGTATAAGTGCCTGAGAAGCAACACTTAAACATGCTGATAAGTGGAGTGTGCATCACACTGCTTTTATAAGGCTTGTATGGCCCTTTGAAAAGGTAAAATGCTAGGTAAAAACAAACTGCTTATTAATATGGGAGGAAAAAATGAAAGAGAGAGAAAAGGAAAGGATTTGGCCACAGTCACACAGTAACATAGCAGCAGAGTTTCAAACCCAGGAATTCTGACTCACAGCTGCCAACATTGCAAATAGTTGGCTGAAATGGTGTATTTTCTAATTTTTCAATCACATTGTCTCTATTTACTTCCTAAGATAAAAGGTTAGTTTACCTCTAAGGAGAAGGTATATGGAAAAAGAAGAGAATAAAATCTGATTTTGATAATCTTTCTAAACTATTTATTAAAAATGGCACTATTTCAACATCAGAAGCTGAATAAAAGACTGATAGCCCAGATGAGTGAACCAGTCTCAGAGAAAGAAAAAAATGGGGCATGGTAGGGAAGAACCCAGACAATTAATTCGGATTTCATAATCTCACTTCTTTTCACATTATTTTTAAGATTAGTACACTATTAAAATACAGTTACTGAATTACTGCACTGTCATTTAAATCCAAGCGCTGTATCCCACTGTGGCACACACTGACGGTCCAGGTTGCACAGTTTATTACAAAATCATGAACTGCTCTGTGTATCATCTGACTGGCAATAGAAATGTGCTTAAATGACCTGGCGTAAGCACAGCCTAGCATGCTGTACTAAAGAGGCTTTTCAGGACCTCTGGGAACACATCCGCCACATCTTGCTGCCTATTTAAATGACCTTGACAGTAGAAATTACAGCCAAATGAGTTAGAAATGAGAAGCCAGAAAGGAGTTTTCTAAAACAA